CTACTCGCAAGTGGCCTGGATCCAGGGGGGGGATCTACGGGAAATGACACTGACGCAGACGTCTGTGTCTTCGGACGTTTGCGAGCAGGCACTTTGCGAGTCGTGGAGCGCGCTCGGTGAGATACGCCCCGCGTGGAGCGTGTCTGCGGGATCGCGCGCCCACGGCATCGCGCCGCGAGGGCACGGGTGCTGGCGCTTTCGGGCATACATCCTCGGCGTCGGCGCGCTGCCTGCGGAGGCGAGATAGCGGGGACTATATGAGGGCTCGCGGCCCGACCGGGCCCAGGATCTGGCCGGGATCCCCTAAAATCGCCGACCGCAGCGTCTCAACCTGGCTCAAACAAATCGACAGAACGCTCGGCTTGCAAGATCCTCAGGCGTCCCGGTGCGGGTTGGGAGGCAACTCCTGGGAGATCTCTGTAAAAACGAGGATTGTCTCAAGCTGGTTCAAATCGACAGAACGTTCGGCTTGTGAGATCCTCAGGCGACCCGGTGCGGTTTAGGAGGCAACTCCTGGGAGATCTTCGTAGAAACGAGGGCTGTGAAGCCCGATCGCGGGACCGTGAAGCCGGATCAGCCCTGGTCAAACTCAGGATAGTACCTGAGAAAGCCGGATGCGGCGTGAGTCCACGAACTCAAGCGGGAGTATGCCGGCTTGGGCTGGTGTTCGACCACGGATATGCCGGCGCCGATGCCGAAATCAACCTCCCAGCAGTTGCACCCACATGAGGGGGCACGATGGTGTGGACCAACTCGGGGCGGAACCGTCGAGGTGGAATTGGCGAGTCATTGCCGACACGTCGGCGACATACCCTCGACTGCGGAACCAGGCCTCCACCAACGCCGTGGGCTCTCTCGGGCCCCCATGTGGCGATGCATGGGCGCTTGGGGGTCGATGCGCTGCCCCGTGAGTCTATGCCCCCTATCGGAGGTGCGCAAGCATGGACTAGCGATCCACGGATCTGGCGCGCAGTCGCCAGATCCATGGATCGGGGGAGGTGCCCTCCTCAAAATGCGGCTGGCGCCGCCTCGTTCAGCGGCGGAAATCCGCGATTTCCCAGGGAAGCGGGACCCGTCGCTAATCCACGCCCCCTTGATCCATTTTTGCGATCGCCTGACCCTAACGTTGCTCCTGACCAGGGCCCGCTGTAGCGGGCTGTCTCAACCGGTGGGATGCGGGAGGAGCCGTCGACGCGGAGAGGAGGTGCCCAGAGGTCCCCGAAATTCCAGGAAGGCCTCCAGAGGTTGAGGGCCAGTGAGGTCCCGAAACCCTGATCTCCTTCGATTCCCTCCTCATCTTCCTTTCTCCTCCTGGACTTCCCCCTCTGGCCATCCACGCACTCGAGGGTGGACCCAACCCGAGCAACACAATATCTGAGGGGAGGGAGCCTGGGCATTGCAACTCTTCTAGCCCCTGCGGCCTGGAGGTGGACGAGTCGCGACGCTGGCGACGCCGACCGTGACAATCCTCCTGTCGCTCCTCCCCATTCCTTCTCGTGTTCTTCTTTTTCTTCCTCCTCCTCCTCCTCCTCCGCTTGCCCCTCCTCATCCTCTTCTTCTTGCTCCTCCTCCTCCTCCTCCTCCTCTTGCCGCTCCTCCTGCTTGGTCAGGCTGTTGTGCACTGTCCGCTTCGCACAACGCTCAGGTGCACCTCAGGAGCACACGCTGCGACCTTGAGCCTTCGACCGGCAGGGCGAACATGGGGGAGGGGGGGCCTCCCGATCTCTACAATGATGATGCTCTCTCTCTCTCTCTCTCTTTTTTTTTTTTCTCTCTCTCTCTCTCTCTCTCTCCCTCGAGGAGGAGGAGGAAAATGAGGAGGAGAAGGAGGAGGAGGAGGAGGAGAAGGAGGACAGATGCTTGATATTGTACATGTAATGTTTTTTTCTCCCCTGGAACCCCCCGCAGACTATCTCTGGAGACTTCCAGAGACCCCCAGGGGGATACGGAGGAAATGGAGGGGATGATGATGCTGCTGATGATGATGGTGATGCTGATGCTGATGCTGCTGCTGATGATGATGATGCTGATGATGATGATGATGATGCTGCTGCTGCTGCTGCTGCTGATGATCTCGAGAAGCAGGTGAGCTTGGAAAATGCTTGCGACTACGGTTGGCGAGACCAATGCTTGTGCAGACTGCAACTGCAAAGATCGCAGAGCGTACAACATTCAAGCGCGCGGGGATGGACATATACGCCACGAGCTGGCATTCCACTACACTGCAATACACTTCCACTGCCGCTGCTGCAGGCGCCAAGTTGAGAGCGGCTTGCACAGGCAGGGGCAAAAGTGAAGAGTGCAGCTATCACCCTGTGGCGCCCGGGCAAGCGCGTTGCAGTCTCGACTGCCGCTGCTACCCCTCCCCCGCATGCCCAACTGATGTATGTCAGGCGCATCGGTTCGACTCCGCACGAGGCCGATCATAAGTTGCACCTGCAAGCGCTCGCTGGAACCAAAGACAGAACCGCAGCAGTCTCGCGCGAGCCAGCATCGGCTC